TAGGAAGTGGTGTAAGTTGTAACACCACAGAAGGTGAAACAAAGAGAGATTTCAGCCTCCAGACACTCCTCACAACACAGAATTGCCCAGTGCTTTTGGCCCGTTGTAACATCAGCTCATTCAACTGACCTCATTTCCAGCCTCTCCCAAAGAGGGAGGATTTCTGCCCATTCCTAGGAAAGCAGTACCACAGCCTCAGGAATACTACCCACTGCCAGGACACCCTTCCTTTGGTTTTCCCTTGTGGTTTCCTGCCTGGTGTCCAGCCTGAAATCCTTTGGGAGCACCCAGCAGCTCCTGTGGATTTAACGCCCTTCAGGCAGTTGCGGATCTTTCCGTCCTCCTTTTATTCAGGCTCAGCAGTTTCTAAACACAGCATTTTCTGAGGCAGCCTCTGATTTTGGATGCTCTGCACTGTGTCAAATCGAGTGTCCAGAAATGGAGACTCCACAGAATCAGGGGTCACTCTGGGAACTGCTGTTTGCAGTCACATCCTCCCTCCCCACGGTTTTGTTTGCTGGAGTTGGATCTCCTCACGACATCTCCTGGTCATGGGGCAGTGTGGGATCACAGGGGGTGCATATGAACCCTGTCAGGTCCAGCACCTGATGTCTCCATCAGCTGGGTGTCCTAGCAAGCTGATAAGGCAGGGAAGAAGATTTAGGGACTCTGAGGACGTCCCAGAGAGGTCTGCTGGGGCAAGGTTTGACCATGAAACTTCTGTGCTCCCTCCCCGTGCTCTCAAACCCTTCTCTATCTCTGTGTTATCACTCCCCATCACTTGTCTGCCCCTCCTGCCCCCCCAACACACCCAACCATCCCCCCCAACCTAAAATCTGAAGCCTGATTGCACAGATTGAAGGTCCTAATTGCACTTCCCTTTCCAAAGCCGCCTTCGTTTATCATAAAGGGTGCACATTTCCCCCGCTACAGTTTCCACGGCCGGAGGCCCTGAGGGCCAGCTCAGAAATGGAGGGAATTAATTACATTTTTTTAACTCCCCTTCTTTTAAAGTATGGGAGAGAGTGATGAAACGTCCCGGGGGGGAACGGGGGGGAGCTGCAGAGATGAGGGTGGGGAGGGAGGCAGCAGCAGGAGGTGAGAGGGGAGCTGGTTCTTTCATCCAGGAGGGTCTTTGTGCATTAACATTGGTCTCCCCAACACATCGGGACCCCAACCCACTCTTCACATGACAAATGACCTGTGGAAAGGGTAGAGATGAGGCTGAGGGCTCCTGGAGCTGTGGCTGTTACTGACTCAGCCCAAAGTGTGAGCCCACGTCACGCCTGGAGCTGATTTGGGACAACAGCAAAGGGAAAGGCGATGGGGAAAGGGCGAGACAACTGATGAGAGGGAGGGGAAAGGGAAGGCTGTCAATCACAGTGATGGACAGGTAGCAGATTTCCCTCCAGATAAAACCTTACAGATGTGAAGAGGGTATTGATTTTTAGTTAGTGATGATAATGCACCAAGAAGTAATAAATTATAAGAAAGCAAGGTCAAAAAGAAAAAGTAAAAGGACTTTGCATTCTTGAGGAAGAGATTTCTCCAGATGCCTCAGACTTTCCTAAGTTCAGAAGTTGCCTGGAAAATGAGTTTATTCAGCTGAAACAAGAATCCAGATAACATAGGCCTGCCAGGGCTGGAGGGCTCATGCAGGGTTATCTGTGCTGGGTGGCCAGTGGTGGAGAGGGAATAGAAATCTCTGGTTCACTCTTGTTATTCCTGGCACCTTCATGTCCTGGGGTGGCCAAGAGCAGATGCCACTCTCTGATAAACCTGAGCAAACAGAGTCTTGGGGGAGCTCAGCCCCAGATCGCTCTCAGAGTGCCTGGAAAAGGCAAATCCTTCCCATGGTCAGTGTTGAAGAGGAATCTAAAATTTTTGGGGCTCTTGGCTCAGCTGAGCCCCAGAGCCTCTGTCAGGTTCTCCTGCAGCTCTCAGTCAACCACATCCACGGGAGCATCTACAGGGATGTGCATCCCCAGCCTTGTATCCACCCTGGAATCACTGTGAGGAAATACTCGTGCCCTTATGTTTCAGCCCTCATTTCCAGAGGGAAATTCAGCCTGTCTTTTGCAGCAGGAGGACTTGGGATGGGATGAATTGTCCTTCAGAAGTGTCAGTCTCTCTGTAGAGGGATTCTGGAGGATTAGCAGAGACTAGAACTTCACATGACTAAGGTTAGTTGAGTTGAGTCCGAGCTGGAGTGACTTGCACAAGCCCTTGTGAGTCAGTAGCAGAGCTGGGATTAGAAATCAGTCCTGATTCCCACTGATTAAAGCCAATTACTTTTTTAGCAGGATTTGTGCAAGTGTCTTCTCCGGTCCCTGAATCTGGAGAGTGTGAATCTGGGTTTCATTTACCAGCATTGCTTTACATCCCCCTTTCCTTTTAGAAGGAAGTGTTAATGTGACTTCTGCTTGCTCCAAGAGCCTTTTATTTTCTCAGAGTAATATGAAGCAGCTGACTGACTCTTTTGGGGAGATGGCCAGGAGGGAGAGGACTAGAAACCCTCTGCTCTCTGAGTGATTCCAGTTGCCCTTCATTGTACAGTGCAGGAAATCTTTTCTGCACCTGCAGGGCTTGGCAGGGCAGGCAGCACATCCACAGCCAAGCAGCACTTCCAGACCTGGACAGCTCAGGAATGGAAAGGAAAAACAGCCTGGCTTTGTGCTGCCTGAGCTGGAGCTTTCAAAAAAAAATAACTCATAATTCATACATCTGTGTTTTTGTGCATGTTTATTGTTTTTAACATTGGATTCTGCTTGTGAATGAAACCCAATCGTGTCTGGTGGCTGCTGTGTGTGTGAGTGTCCTGGATCCCCGTGGGGGCAGAGCTGTGACACCCCCAGCCCAGGTGATGCCAAAGCTCTGGGCTCTGCCTGCAGCCGCTGGGATCGGGGGATCTGGAGCTGAGCCGGATCAAAGTTCATGACCCGGCTTTAGTGGAAGGCTACAAATAACTTTGCAGCTGGAAAACCTCCCTCCAGGCTGCACTTCCAGGATTTCCCCACTGCATAAGCCCTGAGGCAGAGGGGTTTATGTTACATCCACCCAGGAAAGCATGACAGCCCTATTCGTGGATTAATCCACTGTCTTGCATATTTAAAGGCAATTTCCTTTCTTCATCCTCCGGTCTCTGGGCTGTCGTGGGGCAGGGAGTTCCACGGGCACAGTTTGGCAGAGCTGAACATCTTCATCCAGATACCTCGAGGCTTAATCACTGTGATTAGCTGTGCCTGGAGGGGCTGGAGAGCTGGAGGTAATTTAGGCTCTGTCTAACCCCATGGTGTAGAGACAGCTAAGCCAGTTTTAACTTTTGGAGACCAGCAGCTAACTCTAAGCTCAGCGCAGGCTGAGAGCCCAGGAGGAGGAGAGGGTAAATGAACCCTGTCTGGGCTCTGTGCTGCTGCCACTGTGCTGCTTTTACTTACCTTGTTCTTGTGCAAAGCTCATTCCTGTGTCTCCGTTCCAACTGCAGACAAACCCCGTGGTCGGGGTTAGATTGATTTTCCAGGCTTTTTAATTAACCCCCTCCCACTGCCTCCTCCTCCGTGGGGTTCCAGCCACCCCTGCTCCCGAATTCCCCTCTCAGACAAATGCCTGGAAAGAATCTCAGGCCGGCGGAGCCTGAGTTTACATCAAGGGAAAGCATCTTTGCAGGACTCCTGAGTCCTTCCGGGGGGAGGAGAAGCTTTAGAAAGCCCGTGTGGAGCTGATCATTCAGCATAAGACCTCACTCCGGCAGGAAGGTGAGGGAGGAGGGATGGGGAAGGTGTCGGGGTGAGCAGGAAGGGGAGACTCCGCTCTCTCTATACAACCCCTCTTGTGTCCTTCCAGAGAATGTAGCCCCTGCACAATAGCTCACCAGGCCGCTGGTGGGGGATAAAGGGCTCATTTTACCACTTGCCAGGCTCCAAATATTTCCAATTTGCCACTTTAATTGATGTCAATAAGGTTATGCTAAATTCGGAGATTTGGAGCCGCTCGGCATCTGAGGGCCGGCCGGGCCCCCCGAGGTGACCGTCCCCTCTCCCCCCGCCCTCCCCCAGCCCGCGGCGGCCGCGGCATCAACCGAGAGGCATCGGCAGTTCCCGTCCTTCGGCAAACTCTTTACACTCCTAACTTGGCAGCCGCGGGGCAATTCTACTGATTGCAGCAGGCAATTGCATTAAAGGCCTGGCGGGATCAGGGCCCCGCGCGAAGGGCAGAGGCAGAGCCTTACCCCGAGCTCGCCCGCAGGAACAAATCTGGCATTTTTGCTGCAAAAGAGGGGAAAAAAAAAAATTTCATCTGTTTCGGGTCTCAAAGCAGGAAGATTGGTTGTGTGCAAATTTAATTACCTTTTCAAACCAAGCACTGCACTGAAACGAGCTGGACAGGACCTGTTATCCTTTAACATTTGGGGGTAAAGAGAACTTTGACATTTTAGTCCCTAAAGCTGAATCTGCATCAAATCCAGAAAGGGTTTGCATCTAGTTTGTTTAGGGATCTTGGCAAAGTAATCCCTGCTCCAGCTTCCCAAGAAAGGGGCTGTCTGCACTGTCCCTTTCGGAAAATATGGACTTTTGTTCCCTGTTTTGTGTCTCCTCTTCTGTGCATAGGGAGGGAGGGGTGCCGGTTCCTGGCAGTCTGTGTTGAGCAGGTTTGGCCCAAGTTTATTCCATTCTCCAGTGTTCCTTGCACAGCAAATGCTGTGGCAGGGCAGCAAAAAAAAAAAAAAAGCCCAGAGATTGTGTGCTGTGAAGGAACTTCTCCATTTTCCCTGTCAAGGGCTTTCAAATAAAATGTTAGGCACAGACAAGCCAGCTGTGGAGTCTGTCTGGTGTTATTTGGTGGGAGCAGACCTTCATTCTCCAGCCTGGCCAAACCTATTTTGATACAGTATTTTGTAGAACACCATTACATGTAGGTTTTTTCTCCCTGGTTTGCATGAAGGCAGCTGCACCCTCCCTTTCTCCTCCAGCCATGATGTGTGGTCTCCTGTGTTTCTGCAGGTGATGAGCATCCTGAGCAATCCCAGCGGGGTCCCTCCCCAGCCCCAGGCTGACTTCTCCATCTCTCCCCTTCACGGTGGCCTGGACACCACCAACTCCATCTCTGCCAGCTGCAGCCAGCGGAGTGACTCCATCAAGTCCGTGGACAGCCTCCCAACTTCCCAGTCCTACTGCCCTCCCACCTACAGCACCACCAGTTACAGTGTGGACCCAGTGGCTGGATACCAGTACGGACAGTACGGACAAAGTAAGTGCTCTGGACAAAGTTCCCCTCTGCATGGGGAACAGGAGAGCAGAGGGAGGGAATACGAGAGGGTATGGATATACCATTCCATCTTATATATTCAAATACCATATATTGGAAGGGATTCCCATGGAAATCTGTCCATCTAGAGAGAAAAAGGGAGTTTATTCACCAGACTTGGGTGGAGATTGCTCCACACAGCCTCCCCAACACCTTTGCAGCCCAATTTAAAAGTCCCAACTGAAATATTTTAGGTAAAACATTTCTATTACTAAAGGGTGACTTCCTGCCACCTCTCCTTCTCCATCTTCAATTCTCTCTTCTCCAAAAGCTCTACAACATGTTCAGCCTGCTCAGCCAAAGGAAATCCAGGATTTTGATGCCCTCCCTTGGTGATGCCGAACGCTGTGTGTCTCTTCCTCCCCTGCCCTCCCCAAGGCAAGGGCTGGGACCACGCTCAGAGGTTTTGCTACAAAACACGTTAATCCAGTGCCTGTCAGCTGGGCTAGGATTCTGGGAGAGCTGGAGTGAGACTGGAATTGTAATCCTGAACCCAAACCTCAGAGCTGAAAGGCAGAGGGACCCTGGGAGGGTCTGATTCTGCTGCAGAACGGCCGGGTCACAAAAACCACGGCCAGCCTGGCAAAGGGCTCACCTGCCGGTGTTAAACTAATAATGAGAGTGGTGGTGTGAGACAGTGATCCAGGGGGGGTTAAAGGTGCATCCTCTTCCTCCGGGAGTGCTCCTGCTTGCCCAGAGCTTGTCCTCAGTGACCTTTCCTTCCATTTGGCTGTGGCTTTTTATTCCCCTCTCCGTCACAGCCCTTTAATGTCTTTAACTTCTCCAGCTAAATGAGAACCGGCTGTGGCGGCAGACGGGATCAATAGCAGCTTCCCCACACCCCTCCTTTTTTTGTTTTTCAGGAGTTTGATCTGTGACCCCTTGACCTTCCCCTCGCTTCTGGATGTGAGGCTGGACACACGTGCTATTGATAAAAATCTTAAACAAATTCCAATACCATGTATTTCCAATAAAGATTCCCTTGGGCAAGACGTTAGTCACACCCATGTGTGTAAAAAATAAAATAAGGAGGACGAGCTATGTTTTCTGGGAGAGAGAGACTAGCAGAGGAGGAGAAAAGAGAAAGAAGGATTTGTCTTGGTTTGCTGCAGGAATTTTCACTTGGGCCTCTCCTTATGCTGATGAAAATCTCCTCACACAGCTCTATTTGTGTTTAATTTGCCCCTTTTTCCTGATTTCTGTCACTCTGTTTATAATAATCTCTGCAAGGAAACAGTTTTCATTGGTAATTAGTCCTGTTAGAGCAATCACTTACATGAAGTTGACCTTGATACAACAACATTTTTCCTGTCTTTCTCAGTGCATGTTGTATTTAGCAGCATGCTAATATATGAGACTTCTAATTCCTCCTCTTTTTTAATTCCTCTCTTCTTTTCAAACGCTGTTTAAATGCCCACCGATGTGAAGTGACCTTCACAAGATCATTTGTTTGTGTTCAGTTCAGATCATGTGTTTTTTCCATTCTCTGATGCAGCAAAAAAAGTATCAAATCTCTTTTGAGTGAACAGTGATATAATAAAAATGGGGGGTTGTTATGGTGGGGGCAGGCTCTGTCTAACAAGGGACAAAACCAGGGCTTGGAATTAAGAGCTCTGTGGCTTTGATAGGCTTCAGACCTGGCCTCTCTTTCCTCAGTTCTCTCCTCCTTGTTCTCTGTTTTATAAACACAAGCCCAGACACACTTTCTCTTTCATAAAAGCAAATAAACACCCAAAGGACTTTCAGTAAATTTCTAGGTTTATTTTGGCTTCTGCCCCACTGAACCAACAAACTGGATCCTTGACTTCTGGCGTGGGATATCCTGGTGCCTTCGAACTCTTCCCACGGGCACTACCCACAGAAAGCAATATTTGGAGTTTAATATTTTTTTTTAGGATAGGATTGGCATCAAATTTGCAGTTTCTCCCTAACAGGAGAGTGGAGCCAGGTGGGATTAAGTCTCTTCTCCCAGGTAACAAGCGATAGCACAGAAACCCCCCAGCCTAAAATAGCACCCAGGGAGGTTTAGGGTGGATACCAGGGAAAATTTCTTCATGGCAAGGGTTGTCAGGCACTGGCACAGGCTGTCCAGAGCAGTGGTGGAGTCGCTGTTCCTGAAGGGATTTAAAAGATGTGTAGGTGTGGCATTTGGGGACACAGTTTAGTGGTGAACACAGCAGTGCTGGGTTATTGGTTGGACTCAATGATCTCAGAGGGCTTTTCCAGCCTTAATGGTTCCATGATCCTCAGATTTGGCTCAATCCTGCTCAGGGCAGGATGACCAGCTCTGAGCCCTCACCTCTGTCCTTTCCCAAGCTCCCCATGAGTTCTCCCAGAGCACAGGTGACAACAGGAACAGTCACACCCCGTGTGTGAGGAGTGAAATTCCTCTTCACCTGCAGCCTCTCAAGGACATCATTTGATGGGCTTTCCTGAAACATCAGAGGACCAGGCTGATCAGGTCTGGATGAGAGCCAGAACAAGGGGTCTAATCTTTGGACACCCCCCTTGTAGTAGAGGCACCACAACTCAACATTCCAGGGCCTGGTGTCCCAGGAGCACCAGTCCAGCTACACTGGCCCAACTGCTGCTTTTGGACTCTGTGCTGCCTCCTGTGAGCCCTGGGTAGCTCATCCCATGCCAAGCCCACTCCCTTCCCCCTGGCACTCCCCCAGGCTGCGAGGAGCAGGGATGCCAGATTAATGTGGTCCTGGCCATTCCCAAAGGCCGGAGCTGTGTTAATGATGCTGGTGATGGAACGCAGAAGCGTGAAAGGAATCCTAATAGATATGACAAGTCTAATAAGAATTTGTGTGTGGAAGGGACCTCCTCTGGGGCAGGAGGATGACAAGACGTTGATGGCTGAAATTTGTTTACTCATTGGCACCGATTGTACATCTCCTGCCAGCTCCTTATTAATCTAATTTGAGACATTAAAGCCAGAGAGAGGGAAAGACTTTGACTGAAGCTCAGCTAATGAGCAATGTCACCATCCTGCCCCGGTCCTCTTCCCCCTCAGACCATGGGGCAGCCGGGCGAGCCGGGATGTGCCATCTCCTCAGGAATTGGGGCTGTTCCTCACCCAGATGGCGACAGTTTCCCTGAGGAGCAAGGCAGGCAGCAGAGCTCCCAGAGCTGAGTCAGCACCCAGAGGATGAGTCAGGTCCAAGCCCTGTCCAGGCTTGGTGAGCTTCCACTGAAACCTCTGGAATCATTTCCACTCTGGGAGTAGGAACTGGCTTTGTCCACAGGGAGCTGAGCCTGGAAGGTTTATTCCAAGCCTTCTGCTCAGGCTCATCTTCAGGCAGCTCCCTTGGAAACAGCATTTCCGTGGCAGAGGTAGAACTTTAGCTCTTTTCAGTGGCTGCATGGAGAGATTTGAGGGCCCACAGCAGCACAGAGCCTGTTCAGTGTGCTGAGCCCTCTCAGGCTCTGTCCTGTTTGTGGCAGGACCACCCTCTGTCTGAACTCTGCCAGGAGAGCAACAGCCCCCTCGTGTCTGTGACAGCCACTGTGCTGGGGCCCTCTTTGTGAGAGCCTGTTGGTCACACACCCTTTGGTGCTGGAAATCATGGCCACTAAATGCTGATTTGGGGCTGTTTTCTCACCCTTCCTCTTTTTCCCTCCCCTGCAGCTGCTGTTGATTACTTGGCCAAGAACGTGAGTCTGTCGACACAGCGCAGGATGAAGCTGGGAGAACATTCCGCTGTCCTGGGTCTCCTACCAGTAGAGACAGGCCAAGCTTACTGAAGAGTCCAACTGTGCCAACAACCTGCTCCAGCAACTTGGAACCACTGGAGAAAACACCACCAGCCTTCCAGGGATCTGCCCCTACCCAGACCCTCCTCCTTCCCAATTCCCTTCCACCTCCACCAACTTGAGCTGCAAAGGAGACGGGAAAGAGTGGGAGGGCTCTCCAAGTATCCAGCCCCTCCAGAGCACTCCAGAGGCACCTGTGGCCTCTGTGACCTGACTCCTCCTGTGGCCAGAGACAGCGGGTTGGGTGCATTTATTAATCCCGAGTTCATGCCCTCCCTCTACTAAACTACCTGGCCATGGCATTTTGCCCACACTTAAGGACTTTCCATTGATCTAGGTAGTTGGCATAGTCAAAGCCAAATCAATCTTTTTTTTTTTTTTTTCTTTTTCTGTAAAGAGCAGAGAAATGTTCCATTTTGGTTTTTCTTTTTCTTCTTTCCATTGCTGTAAATTTGGTGAATGTATAGGAAGGAATAACCAAGCTGATCATTAAGGGTGATATAAATCAGGACCACAGAAGATCTAGGGACCAAATATAAGAACTTGTTCAAAAACAAAAAGAACAAACCACAAAGATGAACAAACCCAGAGAAACATATATTGAAGTAACAGCAAATTTCCCCACCCCACTCTACCCTCTGTTCTCACTGGTGGCCTCCCAAAGCAGGGCCAGATTGCTGCTAAGCAGGGGCAGGATGGAAATCCATCCAGCCTGGGACCTTTGGAAAATGTAAATTGCTGCATGAGGGCTGGAGATGATGGGCACAGGCACGAGCAACATTTACTTTTCCTTTTATGGACCAATTTAGACCTGATTGTCACTGAAAGGACACGAGCGCCAGGGAGCAGCAGGAGATGTGATAGCACAGAGGGTACACCCAATGGCACAGGAGCTGTTGCTCATCCAGCTGAGAAGGGTGAGGGCTGTTGGTGGCCCTTCCTTCTCTCAGCAGGGGAGAAGTTGGCCCTGAGAGCAAAGACAAGTAAGGGCAGAACCAGAGGTGTTGGTGAGCTCAGTGTGCAAAGCTAGGCTCTTCTACAGGGGTCACCTGAAAGGAAATGGTGCTTGGTCTGCAGGTGCTTTGCTGCATCTCTCACTGAGGGTGGGGTAAAAGGGACCTGAAGAGTCTTTCTAACAGCAGCTTGGAAGGAAAGGTGCTCTCAGATGCAAGACTGCACCTGTCTGTAGTGCAGGAAAAGATTTACCTTCCCAAGACATTCCTCATCCTTTTGCTGCCGGGAGAAATGTTTGTCCCGTCCATCCTCCTGGCTCTTCCCACTCCCTTCGCATTCCGTGTGCTCTTCTGTACAGCTCAGTCCCTTGGTCCCTTCCCTCTGCTTTCCATTTTGGTGGTAGATCTTTTCTCTCTCTCTCCCTAAGCCAGACCTTGTTCTGGATTTATCAGCCCACTTTTCTCCAGCAGTGAAAAAAAGTGCTCTCACTTTTGTGTCACCTCATTGCACTGCTCAGAAAAGCACAGTTTAAATAGTTTCCCTTTTGCATGTGGGGATGATCCTTGATGATTCTTAAGCAGATATGTAATATTACAGATTTTTTTCCCCCTCATCTTCCTGTGTTGAGAGGATTCACTTCAAGACATTTGATGTGGAGAGGGCAGGGGAAGCTGCCCCAGGGATAAACACTCAGATGCACAGAATCTGTGCCACCAGGAGCTGGTGTGTGAAGGCCAGTGACAGCAGGCAGTGTTTAATGTCATCCATGGGCTGTTAGAGTTTATAATACACTTTCTATTTGATATTTCTAGGATAATGAATGTCTGCTTTTGTCCACTGGTGATACAGAGGGACCATAAGGTGGGATGAGTCTGGGCTAGGTTATTAAAGGAGACACTTTCCACTTGCTCTCTTTTCTGCTACTGCTTCTTCCATTCTCCCCAAATAACCTGTTCTTGTTTTTGCAGCTGAAACAACATTTTTCTGGGGAATTATCCCCTGCCTTACTCCAGCATCATTTATCATGGACCACTAAGCCACTTCTCTTGAGCCATATGGAGAAGTACCTGTCCTGACCAAAGCAGGGCTTGGTTTCTGATGTTGCCCAGCGTCCTCTTGGAGCCACATATGGCTTCCATCAGCTTTGCTTTATGGCTCTGACAGAGCCAGCTCTACATTCCCAAAAGCATTTTCGTTCACCAGCCTGGCCTCTCACATGGGTGTGTCTGTGCAGGAGCCCTGTGAGAGGTGACATCTGCATCCTGAGGCTGATTCCTGTCCTTTATGCTCCAGAAAGCCCAGTTCAGCTTCTGCTTGTCCAGCTGTACCACACACAAAGCTTCTCTCTAGAACATTCCTTGGATCACAAAGCTCTTGAAGCGCTTGCATTCCTCGTATCCTTTCTCAGGGCAATGTGTGGCACCTATAGCTGCTTGAACAGGTGAGGCCAAAGGGACTGATTTCCTCAAGGTGACTGATGAGCCAAAACACCCTGGACTGGTTGTCTTACCTGAAGGACTCTCTCTGCTTCGCTCCAGTTTGAGATCTTGAGAAGCAACAAAAACCCCACTGGTTTATAGTGTTTACATGTTAGAGCTGATCCCTGTTGAATTCCAGTCCTGGCCTAGAGGTCATTCCCAGCAGTAACTTCCAGCCACACATGAAGTGGGGAATCAAGGGTGTCTCCATGATGGGCACCAGTGAAGGGATCAATGACTGAAGCACCTGCTTGAACTTGCTCCTGTGTCAGCTTCATCCTGAGCCAACTGCTAAAACAACAAAGCCCACCATTTTCTTATATTTAACAGCATTTACGAGGCCAAATGCTGATGATTCCCTCCCTGGGAGCACTTTCAAATCCACATTCTCTTTGCCACTGGAACATGGGGTTTGTAGCTGGTGACCACTTGCCCCATTACTGCCCCAGCCAGTTGTGATTCCTTGTCCCCTGTACTGAAATTCCTGACCAAATGCATTCCTTGCTGCCTTCTGAACCAGAAGGAGAGTTCCAGTTTGTCATGAGAATTGCTTGTCCTGCCCTTACCTCCCCTGTTACCTCACCCATCCTCCCGTGTGTGCACACACATCTCCCAAGGATCCCTCACCAGTGGACAGTCCTGAGCTCAGCAGCCAGTGCAGGACCCAGAAATCAAACCATTGAAAAGAGGGAGCACTGCAGAAACCTCTTTGCCAGTTACCTTCACCAGAAAGTCCGTGGCCACCTGGGCACTGCTGTAAATAGGATTCTTAGAGGAATATGAGAACGCCCCATGCTTAGCACAAATAGCTCTTCTCTGACCTTTCCCTTGTGGTCGCACTTTGTACATTTGTTGGAAATTTGGTCATGTGCTGTATGTTTATAGAAAGTTGACATTTTTTTTATACTAAAAAACACAGTGAGTGCCGTGCTAGTTTAAAAAAAAAAAAAAAAAAAAAAAAAAAAAAAAAAAAAAAAAAAAAAAAAAAAAAAAAAAAAAAAAAAAAAAAAAAAAAAAAAAAAAAAAAAAGGGAAAAAAAAACGAAAAACACAAGAAAAAAAAAGAAAAAAAAGGGGAGGGGGATGAACTGTAGAAATTTGCCTATTGTGTGTTTTCAAAGTACATTCCAGAATCTTTGGGGTGGGATGGGTTTGATTTCCGGATTCTTTTTTTGTTTGTTTCTTTGTTTTAAGGTACGTTCATGTATGAAAGTCAAAGTATTTTTTTGTTTTGTTTCGTTTTGTTTTTTGGATTGCCGACCTCAGTTCTGCTGAAAAGAGACAAACTCAGGGGTGGGGTGGGACGGGAGGGGGAGCAGAACAGAGGGAGGTACCTTGAAGGTGAAACAAAACTGAGCATGGCAGAGTAGCAGTGGCAGTGCTGGACAGCAGGCGTTCCCTGGAGAGCTGCACTCGAGACCCCTGGGGGTCCCTTCCAAAGCAGAATATTCTGTGATTCTGAGACTCCGTCAAATCAGACCCCAAATCAGACCCTGAGGAACACATGGTCGTGGCCAGTTGACACCGACCAAGCTGGGACTGAGCAGATACTCAACTCCTGGTGACTCTAAGGGTGCCTGGGAACCCAAAAATCATTCTGCACCTCCTCCAGCCAGCTCACTGAGCAAAGGCTCACCCTCCAGAGACACTGTGTCAGCTCCACGGCTCGTTCCTGCCTGCAGATGAGACCTGAAGGGACACACTCGGGGGACATTCTCTGACTCCACAGCTCTCCCCTGCCTGCACACGAGCCCTGCCACCCCTGGGGGGAAGGAACAGCGCCCAGTGGGTTTCTCTGATGCCCCCACAGCCCTGCCTTCACCTCTCCCCACAGCATGGACATCACCTCACTGTGTCCAGCAACTCAGCAGATCTGCTCCTGTCGCTCCGAGAGACTTTTTGTGTATTTAATGCTTCTAACCCGTCATCCCTTAACACCTCCATGTACCCACCTGGGGAATATCTACATAGCACTATAGGGCATTCCTTATTCCTAGTAACTGCGGAGATGTCGCTTCTGTGTTTGCCTCATAGCCATTTGCTCCGTGTGTGAGTGTGGGTGTGTGGGTGCCTGCGGGCGTGCGTGTGTAAATATATAATCGCACCATAATTTATTCAGCTATATGGAGTAGAATAGTAGAAAGAGAAAAAACTGGTTTTGCTTTAACTACCTGCTGCCTGTAGGTGTCTTTCTGTAACTCAGGCATAACTGTTATACATTAAAAAAAAAAAAAAAAAAAAAAAAAAAAAAAAAAAAAAAAAAAAAAAAAAAAAAAAAAAAAAAAAAAAAAAAAAAAAAAAAAAAAAAAAAAAAAAAAAAAAAAAAAAAAAAGAAAAAAAAAGGATTAAAAGTGCCTTTGGGTGGCTTGTTTGCTTAACGCGCTCCATGGCGTGCCAAGAGCGAGGGGGGAAAGCGGGGAAGTGAAAATATTCAGCACACACAGGCAAACTGCAGATGGTTTTGCTCCAAGAAGCAAAATCGCGGGGCTTCGTTCCTTAATGAGGAGGTGGAAAAGCTACGTAAATAAATAAAACATTTAATTTCACTGTGACTTTGCACAAGGGAAGGACAATTACCTGGCCTGTTCTCAACACAACCAGTTCTTTATGCATTCATTTGGAACCAGCCCCAGCCCGGGCAGGGGAAGGCCAGGGAGGGACCAGGCTGCTCCACAGGCACCTGGCTCTCGTTAAATGCCAAAGCCCGGCATCAACAAGCGGAAAAATATTTAGAAACTACGGAGGAATACGTGGCTGGGGGCTTTGCACTGAGGAATAAAGCGTTTTGCCTCTAAACAAAGCCCTGAATTCAAAAGCTGGTCCCATCTGAAGACGTTTTGGCTCTCTGTAAGAGAAGCTGATCTTCATCCAAGCCGTGGTGGAGGAATATCCACAGGCAGAAACGAGCCTAATTAGCCCCTGGGTTTGAGTTCAGCCAGTCTCCAGCAGAGGGGTCAGTCCACGGGAGCTGACTGGCTTCCCAAGGCCACGTGAGATCACCCTTAGATAGGATCTACCAACTGCTTCTGTTTGTCTTTTGGGAGCGGATGAGGCAGGAATCTGCCAACCTGGAGTTTCCCACAGGCAGGAGAAGGCTCAGTGAAGGAACAAGGGCTTTAGGATTGCAAACTCTGCTGGCACACTCTTGTCCACCTCTTGGTCGTGGCTTCCTTATCAATCACCCACCGGGATCCTTTCTTAGTCCCCCCCCTGCCCCCAGTGCCTGGATAATCCCCATTTCTGAGGGAAGAGGGCACCCACAAGCCAAGGGTTGGCCACAGGTGGATCTACAACACAAGCAGTGGACTGGGGAGTGCCTGGCCTGGAGCTCTGGGCACGAAGGGGCTGAGGCTTTGGTGGGCTCTGAGGGGCTTGATGAGGATCCTTGGAAAATATGGCAGGTATCCAAATGTCACAAGCTGGAAATCACTGCTCTTACATGATGCCAAGGGCACCCTGCTGCCCAAAAGGCCATAATTGGGATAATTATGGCCCAGAGAGGCTCATCTTTGTGTAGCAAACAACCCCCTTCAGGCATCAGAGTGGGAGAGTCAGCCCCAGCTTCCTACCTCTATCCTAGAGGAATTGTATTTGGTATCTGCCAGTTTTACCCACCCTGAGGCCCCCCTTCCCACCTTAGACCTGCACCCATCAGCAGCACCCGATTTCC